AGATCGCTGGGATTGAGGAGGTTAAATATCTATAAAAACTGAGAGTTTTCAGGTGTCCTACACCTACACCATCCAATTCTGTAAATAGGTAACTCACTTTGTTTTAAAAATACTGGTTTTGAACAATCGAGTTACAGTTATAGTGCATGCTACATGTATTCAGGTGATTAGAAAACCGATCAGCCAGTTTCAGAGATGCCTCTTTCTTAAATTAGCAGTAGGAAATCCCCATGAATTTATCTCAGGGGCAGACGGGTGGTGGGAAAAGCACGGAGTTGAGGAAAACGTGCAGAGAACTGGTCAGGAGTGGCAGAGACGCTCCCTTCTCAGTGTCCTGGCGGCCCCTCTGTAGACAGAGGGTGAGAACACAATTGTGTGTTTATCAGTTTATGGAGGAAACATAAATTTCTGCTTGTTTCAGAAAGGGCCCTCTATAAACACTACCTGACCCTGACAACACCTCATTTAAAAACTGAAGGAACTAGACCTGGCGTGGGTGTGCAGGGAGGGAGGAGAGAAGGCAGGGGAAGTAAAAATGATTCCTAAATGCGAAGTTCAGAGCGGAGCCTGGGCCTCGGGGCCACTGGCCCAGCAAACAGCGCAATCCTTAGAAGGTCGAGAGTGAGACTCTGGGCTGACAATTAAGAGTGAGCAGACGGCAGCTGAGCAGCACAGTCACAGGAGAAGAAAACAGTCACCACTGTTCATTTTTTCACTCTCCCTTTAGCTACAACCTCGGCATAGGAGGTGTGAATGAAGTCATAGAGCTGCTTCGCGTTTGCCGCGTTCCCCAGGACACTCGCCAGCTTGTCTTGGGACAGGCTGGCTAACTCTGCGATGTTCTTAACGTGGTTCATCAAGGAGCGACAGTTTTTGGCATTGACCCCCGGCATTTTCAACAGGAAGTCTTGGGGCCCGGGGCTATACTTCTCTGCCTCGGGGAGGGTCTCGGAGTCCGCGGTCACCGCCATGGCGGCCACCGAGTCAGGCTGTGGCTTGTTTTGCTTCAGCTCCTCAAACAGCTCCGCGGTTGCGTGTGGGGAGGGGCACCAGAGAAGCC